TGGCGGTCACAGATTTTAATCAAATGAATGGCTCAGATTTATTAAAAGATTGATCAGATTTAAATTTTACACTAAAATCTCCTAAAATACCCACACATCGTTACTAATTCCGTTAAAATTTTAAGAATTGCCGTTAGTTCACCGTTAACTTACTCATTGATTTCAATAAAAAAAAAAAAGTCTTAAGTTCGAACCTCATCACAATCAAAGTTGGCATAATTAGTATTCTATTTTACTCTTATTAAATTATATAAATAATAATTTAGTAATTACAACAAAAAATAATACATATGCATTTCTTTAATTTAGAATTATGTGTCCACAATGCCTTTATTCAAAAAGAAAAAAATATTCATTATCAATAAATTAAATAAGAGAAATAATTTTATTAGTTATATTGACTTTATTTTTCTTCAATATAAAAATTCTTTATATTCAAATTTATTAATTGATTATATTCGCTACATTGTCCTTACAATGTCTTTATTCAGTGAAAAAAAAAAATTATTAATTATCAATAAATTAATTAAAAATATAATTAATAAAGCCAACCATATTAACTACTTGAGAGATTTTGTGACAAAGAGAGTATTCAAATCACACAACAAATTGAAGTGAGAACTACCTCGCAATGTTCTTGTTTGGCAATCAGTTAACGGTTAGCGTTAGCGGATTATATAGCGGATTTCACCAGCGAATTTATTTAATTATTAACATTGGGTAGAAAAAATGACCGCCAAATTATTAAATCAAATGAATGGTTCATATTGTTCAGGTTTTAATTTTTTTCTTTTAAGATTTTCTAATTTATCCTTAATTATATGATTATCCATTTAACTTTTCCGTTAATTCACTATTAGTCTAATTCTAATATTAAAGTCTAATATAGAATTATAACTACACCATTAATCTAATTCTAATATTAAAGTCTTAATAGAACTTAACCACAAATACTAATGTCGGAATCTCCTCAAACAATATTAGTATATATTTAATATTTTATGCCCTAATTTTTATTTGTTCTCCCTTATGTCCCGTATTTGGTTTCAACCATACCTATACAATTATTTTATTGACAATTATAATCAATCTTGACATATTATCTTGCATTTGTAAACTTAGAATTACCTATTTAACCCGCACGGGCTTAGCTCAATGGTTTAGTGGTTAGTATTTGGGAGAAGAGACCAAAGTTTGAACCTCGGCGGCGGCAGTGCGGGAATTATGTCCAAAGTGGGCAGATTCCTTGTGCGTATCAGCATTTGGCCCTGTCTGCTGAACCATTGAGTCACCGTGATTTACAACTTCCCACAATGCTCTGTCAGGTCGGAGTGTGGGGGGCCCTTGGGGTTGGGGACTCAACCTTTGGGAGAAGAATTATCTATTTAAATACGCAAATTCAACCTTCAATTATCTATGCATGAACAATTTCAATATAATCCTGCCTTAATATACTTTAAAGTACTTATTTAAAAAAAAAAACATTGGGCATTATCTCAATCGCGCAATGCGCGTAAAAAACTAGTTATTATACTAATAAGAGGCCAAGAGAGTTAGGCCTATAATGGGTAGAAAAAATGGCGGTCAAGTTTTTTAATCAAATGAATGGCTCAGATTGATCAGATTTTAATTTTTTCTTAAGATTTACTAATTTATCCTTAATGAATATGATTATCCGTTAACTTTTCCGTTAAATATTATCTTTTCTTTCTGTTAGTTCACCGTTAACTTTTATTCATTGATTTCAATAAGAAAGGTATTAAGTTTGAAGTTCGAACCCCATCCCAATCAAAGTTGGCATATTTAGTACTCTATTTTAGTTTTATTAAATTAAATAATAATAATTTAGTAGTTACAACAAAATATAATACATATGCATTTCGATCTTTAATTTAGAATTATGTATCTACAAAGTTTTTATTCAAAAAAATTATTCATTATCAATAAATTAAATAAGAGAAATAATTTCATTAGTTATATTGTCTTTATTTTTCTCCAATATAAAAATTCTTTACATTCAAATTCATCAATTGATTATATTCCCTACATTGTCCCTACAATGTCTTTATTAAAATATATATATATATATATATATATATATATATATATATATATATATATATATATATATTCATTATCAATAAATTACTTAAGAGAAATAATTTTATTATATTATATTGTCTTTATTTTTCGCCAATGTAAAAATTCTTTACATTCAAATTCATCAATTGATTATATTTACTACATTGTCTATTATCTTTTTTGTGCACTATTTTTTTAATTAAATATCAAAGTTATAATACAAAATAATATTATATATTTATTTACCAAGTATTTTATTAATACCATGAAAAAATTAAGAAAAATATAATTAATAAAGCCAATCATATTAGCTACTTGAGGAATTTGTTGACAAAGAGAGTATTCAAATCACACAACAAATTGAAGTGAGAACTATCTCGTAATGTCCTTGTTTGACAATCAGTAGTTAGCGGTTAGCGTTAGCGGATTATATTAGCTGATTTGACCAGCGAATTATATCAACGATTGGTAAAAAGATAGTTGAAAAAATTAACTTTTTAGATTAACATGTAAAATGACCTAAGGGTATACATATATTTAATAATAATAATAATAATAATAATAATAATAATAATAATAATAATTGTTTTAAAAAATAAAAAAAATAAAAAAATATAATTAAGCCAATCATATTAACTACTTGGGGGATTTATTTACAAAAAGAGTATTCAAATTACACAAAAAATTGAAGTGGAAAACTACCTCGCAATGTCCTTGTTTGACAATCAACAATTAGTTCTTCAATATTAGTATATATTTAAAATTTTATGCCCTAATTTTTATTTGCTCTCCCTTTATGTCCCGTATTTGGTTTCAATTATTTATGCATGAACAATTCTAATATAATCCTGCCTTGATATACTTTAAAGTACTTATTAAAAAAAAACATTGGTCATTATCTCAATCGCGCAATGCGCGTAAAAAACTAGTATACTAATAAGAGCCCAAGAGAGTTAGACCTATAATGGGTAGAAAAAATGGCGGTCAAATTTTTTAATCAAATGAATGGCTCAGATTGATCAAATTTTAATTTTCCTTTTAGATTTCCTAATTTATCCTTAATGAATATGATTATCTGTTAACTTTTTCGTTAAATATTATCTTTTTCGTTAATTTCTGTTAGTTCACCTCATTGATTTCAATAAAAAGGTTTTAGGTTCGAACCTCATCCCAATCAAAGTTGGCATAATTAATACTCTATTTTACTCTTATTAAATTAAATAATAATTTAGTAGCTACAACAAAAAATAATACATATGCATTTCTTTAATTTATTATTATGTGTCTACAATGTCTTTATTCAAACAAAGTTATTCATTATCAATAAATTAAATAAGAGAAATAATTTCATTAGTTATATTGTCTTTATTTTTCTCCAATATAAAAACTCATTACATTCAAATTCATCAATTGATTATATTCGTCACACTCTCCCTACAATGTATTTATTAAAAAAAAATATTCATTATCAATAAATTAATTAAGAGAAATAATTCTATTAGTTATATTGTCTTTATATTTCTCCAATTTAAAAATTCGTTACATTCAAATTCAACAATTGATTATATTCACTACATTGTCTATTATCTTTTTTTGTGCACTATTTTTTTTAATTAAATATCAAAGTTGTATACAAAATAGTGCTATATATTTATTTACCAAGTATTTCATTAATACAATGAAAAAAATAAAATAAAAAAATAAAACGAATAAAGCCAGATATTAACTACTTGAAGGATTGGTTGACAAAGAGAGTATTCAAATCACATAACAGATTGAAGTGAGAACTAGCTTGCAATGTCCTTGTTTGACAATCAGCAGTTAGCGGTTAGCGTTAGCGGATTTGACCAATGAATTATATCGACGGTGGTAAAAAGATATTTGAAAAAATTAGTTGTTTAGATTAACATGTAAAATGACCTAAGGGTATACATATATTTAATAATAATAATAATAATAATAATAATAATAATAATAATAATAATAATAATAATAATAATAATAATAATTGTTTTAAAAAATAAAAACTAAATAAAAAAATATAATTAAACAAATCATATTAACTACTTGCGGAATTTATTTTCAAGAGTATTCAAATCACACAAAAAATTGAAGTAGGAAACTACTTCGCAGTGTCATTGTTTGGGAATCAGTAGTTAGCTCTTCAATATTAGTATATATTTAATATTTTATGTCTTAATTTTTATTTGCTCTCCCTTATGTTCCGTATTTGGTTTCAACTATACCTATACAATTATTTTATTGACAATTATAATCAATCTTGAATATATTATCTTGCATTTGTAAACTTAGAATTACCTATTTAAATACGCAAATTTAACATTCAATTATCTATGCATGAACAATTCCAATATAATCTTGACTTGATATACTTTAAATAACTTAATTAAAAAAAACATTGGACATTATTCTAATCGCGCAATGCGCGTTAAAAAACAAGTTAATTTAACAAATGTTGTATTAAACTTTTAATTTAGTTTTTATTTGTACTAATACCATTTGAGGTCCTCCGATTATAATAGTTCTGTCGCGTTTAGTCTTATATTTTCAAATCAAGGATATGATGCTATTTTTTAAAATTGTCATTATTGATTGTTTTACAAAAATTGTAGGGAACAATGAATCAATGATAGCGCAAGTGTAGGCAATAATGTGTATATCTTCCCATAAATATCATTATCCACCTTAAATTATGAATTCTTATTTTAATTGTAAATATTTATGTTCATAATTTTATTATAGCAAATCAACATATAATTATTAAATAAAAAAATTTTAAAAATAATAAATTTCGTATTACCTTTTATATATGAAATTTAATAAAATTAATAATTTTTAATAATATAACATGATTTAAATATTTCTAATATTTAGTCCGTGCATCGCACGGGTGGCATACTAGTTATAACAAATAGTCATAATAATGTATTTGTGGGCTATTTTGCCTCAACTCGTTTGCATTTGAACTAATTTTGCCTCAAGTCTTACAACAACAATGGTGCGCTCAAATAGTAAAACCCCTGCTTATAATCTCGCTTCCAACTTCGGAATCACAAGCATCTGCCTGTTGACTGTCAATAAAACTCCAAAATGTTTTAGTATAATCTTAAGACATACAATTTCCAGGCTTAGAATTCATCAAATGATCTATCAAATTTGTAACAGAGCAAGGAGAAGGGTGACATCTACTGCATATGAATTGTCACATAAAATGCTCAATGCTCTTGGATTTGGTTTCTGGTTTGCTGAATTATCAATTGTCACATCTAAATCATCATAACAAAATCTTAATCTTAAGAATAATAAATAAATGCATGAATTCATCAATGGCTCAATGCTCTTCATTCATGATAACAAATACGCAATGAGAAACAAGATACAAATGGTAATTTGAAAATAAAAGCCAGGAGAAACAAAAGAAAATTAGGAAAACAATTACAAACACCCACCAGAGCAAGTGTTGGAGAAAATTACCTCAGCATCCGCGAAGTCATTCGATTGATAGAACTCTCTTCTTAAGTTATGTGGTTGTCTTCCCGTAGCAGTTTCTTCTGGGATAATTTACCAACAAGCCTTGAACCGGTGAGTACTGTCTACATCTTTTCATAGAAGCTGCTCACCATTAATACACTAAGAATAAAAACATATAAGCAAAAGTTGGCTTAGTGAAGCCCTTCATTTCACCTATTTGAGTGTTATTTGCTGTGTTCATTACTTTCATCTCACACAAATATTACCACTAAAATCAACCTTTCAAGAATTAATATAAAAGAATGAAATAACAATAATTTCACATGCTTGGAACTTCTGTTAGGTGGAGAAAGTGGGTAATATATGAATGCGTATTCCTATATTCCAATTGATCAAGTTTGTCACGGGCACCTGCAAGAGCACGGGGGGAGTGCAAGTTAAGTCAGACTATCTAAACATATTGACAAAAATCCATTTAAACATAATTTAATGGAAATGCATGTTTTTATTATACCTCCCCCTGTACATGCGGGTATATATCAGTTCGATAATATGCTGTTGACATCAACAATACTCCTTGTACATAAACTAATAAATACTCAGTTAAGTTATCATGGAGCAGTAAATAAAATGTCAACTCATTACGTAACCCATAGGAAAAGAATAGCTCACCTAAGAGAAAAGTGTAGCAGTTTGGCAAGTATCAACCATTATTAACAGCTCCTTGAATTTGAAAGTTTAACACAATTGAGAGCTGTGAGCCACCATGCCCTGCCATAGAAATTTATATGGGGGTAAATAAATCTTTAAGAGAGGAAGTTGAATATGGGGTTTACACCTTTGACCTCCAAAATAGAGTCAAAAACTTATGACACTAGATTTCAAGGTCTTTGGATACTCCCTTTCTGTTAGGTACTATGCACTTTATTTTTAAAACTTATAAGCATATCAATCTTCTGCATGTTTAGCTATTCTAGTAGTGAGTTCATTACTTTTCATTACCATAATGAAAGGGTCAAAGGGATATTGGATAATAATCAGATTACTTTTTGCATATTTAGCACTTATAAGCATGCCGAATTACCAATCTTCTACATGTTTAGCATACCAATCTTCTGCATGTTTAAGCAAACTATTTTTTCCCAGACATGACCATGAAGACTAAAGCTGACATTCAGTACTTAATAATAAATATGTAGTGTCTCTCATGTTTTTCTTCTAATTTAGTTACCTATTAAAAAAGAAAAGAAAATCACCTTGCAGATTATAATGCTATCATGTTACCATGTATCCAATTAGCATGACAGCCAAATATAATTTACCAATCACCACAGAAATTCACAAACCATCTTACACAGTTACAGAATTCCCTATAGAACAATAAGACACAATCTGTCTTTAAAAAATCATTTCTCATGCTATCAAGGTCACAAATTAATAAATTATTGTAAACACCAAGATCCTGTAAAATAATGTACCTTTCAGGTAAGAATCACTGCAATCTGTATCGTTGCTGGATGAAATTTGCAAGTCTTTTAAGTTTATAAGACCTGAAATATGGGTAAAATATGAATGGCTTCAGTATTAGCTATCAACAAAAGAAACCTAATTGCCCTTTCTAAAATGTTGGAGCATATCTTATTATTATCCAATATCCCTTTCATTATGGTAATGAACTCACTACCAGAATAATACCTAAACATGCAGAGGATTGGAATGCTTATAAGTTCTAAAAATAAAGCACATAGTACCTAATAGAAGGGGAGTATCCAAAGAGCTTGTAATCTAGTAGCATAAGCTTTTGACTCTCTAGCAACACCACATCCTAACCTGCTCCGATGAGCGCGTGCACGCATGATATCCCTAGCTATGCTTCCCCCTACCACAGTTGCTTTCATAGAAATACATGTTTCTGTTTTTACTTTTTAGTATCATAGTGAAAAACCCAAGAAGGCAGAAACCACACTTTCCCCTTAATACGTTGTCCTCTATGTTATTATCAACCCTTTGCTAAAATTGAAAATAAAATCACCAAAATAAATTGATGTAGCATAAATCAAGAAGGGCCTTTAGTTTCAGTCGATTTGCCTAACAATTTAAGTGCAAAAGTGATATGTCTACAGAGATCTCATACTAACATGGTAAGGCAATAAAAGCATCTGAATGGCTTGCTATATCTGCTTTTCTTTGAAGCACATCTACAACATCGTACACTTCTCCTACTATTTCACTAGTCAACTGTAGAAGAAAGCAATCAAAGCATCCCAGAAAGAATAAACATTAATTATATCCTACACGTTTGAAATTAGGTTGCAAATTTGGAGATAGTGCTGCTATAAGATGGCACAAATTAAAATCACAAGTCTGTAATTCATAAAAGCCCTAATTTACAAAAACTTACGATGGCAGCAGCAATAGAACGGGCTGGGTGGCGAGGCTGGGCGACAAAGAGGTTTCTGTGCGACGACGGAGGAGCTGCTGGGGCTACTGTGGGACGACGGAGGAGCTTTTGTGCGACGGCGGCTGTTGTGCGAGGCTGGACTTTCTTGGCGACGGCAAGGCTATTGTGCGGCAACGGAGGAGCTGATGGATGATGGCAGCGTGCTGCGCAACGGAGGGAGTTTTTGGCGACGACGCTGTAGTACTAAGGGTGTAGACGACAATGGCGGTAGGGAAAGAGGTCAGAAAGAGGGCGCCCAAAAATAAAATTTGGGTGGGAATTAAAATAATTTGAAGATATAAATAGTGAGAGTAATATCATCTTTTGAATCAATAGTGAGAGTATATTTTTAAAATAAATATAGAATTAAATTTTTGTCACTATATCATAAATTTTTAGCTAGAGTAATTTTTAACCATCACTAAAATTATGTAAATAATACATTTAGTGAGGGGTTTTTTACCCGTCACTAATTTTTTGTCACTAAAAGTTGTTTTTCTTGTAGTGCATAATGATCATATAAAAGAGTGACCAGGTCCCATATACTTTCCCCAAAATTGGACCAAACATATCTACTGATACTCCTTGACACTAGAAGTGTAGGATATCTATTGGTATGTTTGAAATAAATAATTATAACCATATTCCTAATAAAATTTGGACAATTATCCTTAGTTTCATCACTTTTTAAAATAGATAGACTAAATTAAACAGAATAAATGTACAATGATTAAATTAAACAAAATACTATAATACAGAGACTCCATAGATACTTTGACTTACATCCTAACTTTGAAAAATATATGTTCACAAAATTAAGTTCCTCTAGATATGATTAATTGATTTTTTTTTTCTGTTCCCTTAGGATCAAGAACACAAACAATTCAATAGAAGAGCGAATTATTTTTTTTAATTTTTTAAAACTTAATTGCATCCTTATCATTGAATCGAAAACGACAGGGTAAACAGTCGGTGAAGCAAAACAGTGACATGTGGTTAACAATTGCCTACGTAGTGGTTATGATATTCCATTTTCCTTCCACCATATTAGTTAAATTTGGGCATGGTGACGTGTACGGAGGGTTATTCACCTGAAAATATCTTTATCCAATAAGTTCAATTATTGGGAAGATTAATCATAATAGAATAGCCTCAAAATCATTAAACGTGACAATAGAATATATTTATTTGGGCGGTTTTAAGATGAGGATCAATCAACCTTCTCAATTATTGATATCCAATTACTTCACGGAGGCAGAAACCAAAATTATTTTCTAATTAACTTGATTATCAATTTTTAAACCAACATATATCTTTTATGTCATATAATCACTGCTATTAAGTCTTAATGCTAAAATTTTTTATCACCTAAGGAATAATTCTCATATGAACGGACTTATATATATATAAAGTCGCGTTCAATTTTGGTGCGAATGGCGCGTCCCGATGCAAAAATGTGAACCAATTAGAGTGTCCAAATTTAAGTGCACATATAGTTATAACTAGGTGCACCTAGGTGAAAGTAGGTGCACTTATAAGTGAAAATATGTGCACCTGATCAATGTTAACAATGCAAAATTATATGCACTTGTATGTGAAAGTAAAGGCAAAATTACATGCACTTGTATATGAGAGTAGATGCACTTGTAGGTGAAAGTAAAGGCAAAGTAGGTGCACTTGTAGGTAAAAGTAAAAGCAAAATTACATGTACTTATAGGTAAAAGTATGACACATGACACGCATTGATTGGTTGGTGCACTTGTAGGTGATAATAGGACATCTCATGACCTCCCATATGTTAGAGTCACTATATGCCAATCTTAGGATTTTTTATTTTTTTGGAAGAAAGGAGGGATGAACTGCATCTTAGAATTCTTAGTACAAGTTGCTTGACATATGCGCATATTATATATATATATATATATATATATATATATATATATATATATATATATAATTTGAACTAAATAAAAAGATGTGTTCAAATCAAGTTGGAAACCTATGCATAATGCATGTTTCTTAAGTTAATTTCTGTTATTTTCATGCTGCTTGTTAGGTTAACTTCTTTTTTTGTATTTTGTTTTTATTTATTTTAAATAGCGGTTCTCTGTGATTCTAAATGCAAATCAAGTTGTGTTTGTTTGGTTAACTTCCTAGATTTTTGTTGTAGTTATGTGCTGCTGAGTTTTGCATTTAATAGAGTAACTAGTATTTGCACTCGTGCGATGCACGGTCAAATAATATAGTATAAAGATTAACTGTAAAAAAAAAAAAGTATAATAGTATATAAATTAATTATTAAATAATGACTAACATTGAAAATGTATTACGCATTATTGAAATTTTTTTTGTATACCGCCTTTTTAGTTAGACTCACAGATGATACATTACTCCCACAAATAAAATTTTTTATCCCCTTAAATTATTTACGCATCAGACTGCTACATACATTTGACCATAATTAAAAATGACCATCTCAAAAACAGGGATATAGAAAAAATTCTAAATATAATTTTAAAATTATATGAATTTAGTACAATAATACTAAATATAGTACGGAGTATAAAAAATATAAGAATTTAATTCATATTATTTTTCAATTTATAAAAAACTTAACCAATAAATAGAAATTATATATATATATATATATATATATATATATATATATATATATATATATATATGTATATGTATATGTATATGTATATGTATGTATGTATATTAAAAATTACAAAATATAAAAACAAAGCAATATATAAATGTTATTTTATAATATTTAATATACAAATATACTACTTAATATAATAAATTATTGGACCCAAAATTTATTTATTTCATTTTTTTTCTAAATAATCTGGTCCAATACTAACTCAATAATGCAATCAATAACCCGAACCCAATAAAACTACATATAAAATGTTTTCTCCTAACCCTCTGCACTATATTTTACATAAAAAAAGAATATTCCCTGTATATTTATACATCAATTTTTATAATTTCCAACCCATTACAACAATGTTATTTTATAATATTTAATAACCAAATATACTACTTTAATAATGCGACTACATTACATTGTAATTGTAATATACTAATATCTATTCATATACTTTCCGCCTCCACAATCTTTCAAATGAAAGTCCAACCCGGGTACCATTAGACCACATAGTCTTGATAAACATATACATAATTTAAACTTTATATTAAGCACAACCACAGTTGGGATTAAACCTCATCCCATATGTCTGTCCCTAAACCTAAGTAGAAAAGGCGCAAAATGCTTTGCCTTCCTCATTTTTTCGCTCCAAGATGCGCAACTATCTCCTTTCCTGTATGTTGCTTCGTTCCTAAACCCTAGAATGACACCTGTGTGATGCACAAACCACTTATTAGTAATATTATCGGGAAGTTTTATATAGAACAAAATATCTTTTTTTTTTTAAGAAATAAATTGAAATTTATATGATAAAAATGGAATTTTATATATGTTTAATAATTTAATAATTTTTTAAAAGAATTGACATGAATTACCATATCAATTCACAGTGGAATACGAAGTATTATAAATTTACAAATTATTGATTAGTTGTTGATATAAAACATTTACATATTTTTTTTTTGAATGCTACTAGCTCTATTACATTGTAGTATCTGTTCATATACTTTCTCAACCTACTGAAACACAAAGAGCTAATAACGCCTCCACTGAGGCTCGAACTTACAACCTTCCAAATGGAAGTCCAACCCGGGTACCATTTACATATATTTATAATATTATATACATATATTTAATATCAAGTATTATGCAATTTTATTTTCCAAGATATATTAAAAATATTATACTAATTTATTTATCAAAACATTTATACTTTTACCAACTATTTATTGAACTAATTTATATAATTAGTACAATTAACTATTTACAAAAAAATTATTATAATTAAAATATGATTTACTATTTTTAATATAATATAATTGTATTTATGTAATATACTAATAAATTTTCACTATAATTATAATTTATAATTATAATGTTTATAATAATGATAATAATAATAATACAAAAAATACTAACTGAAATGTCTTAATAATAATAATAATAATATAATATTATTATTAATTAATATAAATATTAAATTAATATTAATTAATATCTTCCCCATTTATGCGCTAACCCATTTCATCCCAATTTCTGCACTTCGTCTTCTTCCCTAAACCGACAATCCATCCACACTCCACAGAAATGGAGACGAAGCCATAGAAAATCAAAAGAGCACCTCACTCCGTAATCCATCGGTTCAACCCAGTCTTCTTCCCCATTTCTGCCCTTCGTGGTCGTCTTCCTCGCAAAGCCATAGACGACCACTCCGTACATAGAAATGGATACAAATCCATCAAAAACCAAAAGCTCACTTTACCCTGTAATATCTAACACCAAATTTAACTCCAATTCGCACCTAATTAGCTAAAATAATCATCGTAAACCAATTATTGCAGTCCTTCGTACCGTCTTCAACATAAGTTGCATCGAAAGAGAAAACTCAACATCCATAGCTATACATAGGCTGTCTACATCACCTGGTAAGTTTCAATTACTCTTTAATTAAATAAATACCTAACTTTAATTAAATAAAAACCCTAACTCTTTATCTACAGATCTATGTACACCTGAGAGTGAAGGAAGAAAAATAAGAGTTGAAAGCCATTCCAAAGATTTGACGGTGTACATATAGAGCAATCACGAAGTCGAAAAGTTCCTCTCCAAAAATCCCAAAATCTAAGACAAAATTGATAAAGGTAAATACATTATGATAACAATTTTGACTCAATTCAGTTAAATTGGGTTACACAATTTTACACTTGCATTACCTAAATTGTCTAAGTCACTAACGATATAAATTCATGAAGGACTTTACTTTGTTCCTTTATAAAATTTCAGCATCTCTTACTTTTGTTTTATTTTTAATTGAAGTTAAATTTCAGTTAGGACAAATACATTTATTCCTGCTGTTATCTGATTCAGCAATTACATTAAATAATGATGTAATTACATTATCTGATTCCTGCCTAATAAACCATATTTTTTTTCTCATTAAATAATGATGTTGAGATATATATCCAGGAACTAACATTTGGTTGTTTTTTATAACTGATTTTCAGTTTTCCTTGTTTCAACTTTCAGTCTTTTATTCTTTATTTTATTTTTTTTTTTGTTTTCCATTTCCGTTCTTTATTGGACCTGTGTAACAAAATGTTATTGTCTTTGTAAACTGGGTAACTAAATGTTATTGTTTTTGTAAACTGTGCAGGCCCTATCTGGCCACACAAGTTCCGTAGAGTCTATAACTTTTGATTCAGCTGAGATTTTAGTAACTGCTGGATCTTCATCCAGGTTAATAAAGGTGTGGGATCTAGAAGATTCAAAAAGTAAGTTTACCTTTCAAATTAGGTTCTTCAGTAAATTAATTGCATGTGTCTATCAAGTATGAGATTCAAAAACTACAACTTGACTTCTAATCTGTCTATTATGATGCAGTCAAATGAAAATCTTTAAATTTAGGAATATTTCAAAACAGGCAACTTGTATACTTGAATTTATTCTTCTAAAAGCATGATTGTTTTCTAACACCTTGTATACTTGAATTTATTCCTCTAAAAGCATGATTATTTTTTAAGTTAATTCCTGCAATGGTCCTCCGACTATATTAATTTTCCAAAATTAATTCTCGACTTTTAATTTGGACATTTTACGTCCCTTGACTTTCAATTTCTTTCCAATTGAGGTCCTTTCGTGAGATTACGGAAAATTGGACTTTAAATGAAATAGTAAATTAGTTATTTCATCTGTCTAATGTATAATTCTTCGTATTTCTTCCTTGTATACGCGACTTCGGACATCAAATTCACTCTTAATTCCTAAATCCACTCGAAGAACAAAATTCCATTAGGCACCAAAATTAAAAAATTATAAAGTTGTGCACCAAAAGTGATAGAACATCAAAAGTCGGAGACCAAAAGTGAAATTATTAATAATTCTAATACGGAGTAATAATAATAATTATTAGACGTGCACGCGGCCGTGAGCCTTGATATTATTTCAAGAACAGTTAATCCATTCTCTCTCTCCTATATTCTCTCTACAAAGGATCTTCGACTCTCTCACCGGTCGAAGATCCAGCGGCTCTTTCATCCGTCTTCATCCGTTTCGCTCGTCGTCCTCAATCGCTCCTAAATCAGTCATCCGTCTTCGCTGCTCCTTCCTCCGTCTTCGCTCGTCGTCCTCGATCGAATCACCGGTCTTCGTCCGTTTGAGGTAGTGAGGATTTCGTTTTCATTATTTGTATATTTGAAATTTCGATTCTGATAATTAAGTATTAAATTTCGTGAACTTTAAATTCTGATAATCAGCCAGGTCGCTCCATCATCGTCTTCGCTCGTCGTCCTTGATCGCTCCTTCAGTCATTCGTCTTCGCTCGTCGTCCTCGATCGACTCACCGGTCTTCGTCCGTCAGAATTTGAGGTAGTGAGGATTTCGTTTTCCTTATTTGTGTATTTGAAATTTCGATTCTGATAATTAAGTATTAAATCTTGAACTTTAAATTCTGATAATCAGCCAGGTCGCTCCATCATCGTCTTCGCTCGTCGTCCTTGATCGCTCCTTCAGTCATCCGTCTTCGCTCCGTCTTCGCTCGTCGTCCTCGATCGCAATCACCGGTCTTCGTCCGTCAGGATTTGAGGTAGTTAATACAAAGAACACTTTTTTATTCGCTGATTGTGTCTCTCCCTGCAAAGAACACTTTCCTCTACAGGAGGACTTAACTCATTATTTTTTCTCATTTAATAATGATGTTCCCCATGTTTTCTCATCGGTTACTGTTTTTTTAGATTTATCATAGTTATTTCAAATAGGTGCAACATAAAATTTTGTTTACAGTCCAAATATGCATATGTTAATACAATTTTTATGTAAATGATCTGTAATTTTTATCCCTATTTGAAATTTGAAATAGGTGCCCCAAAAATCCTTGTTTACAGTCAAAATGAGCATAAGTTCATGCAGTTTTTACGCAGATGAAGAATCATTAATTCTGATGCCACATTTCTTTAAATATCTTAGCAGATGAATAATCATTTTTTTAAAAATCAAGTTCCAAGCTGGATTAATGATGTCAATGTTAGAGTAAATGATGTCTAACTTTGGCAACAATTTCGAAGGTCAATCCATTTTTGGGACTCTTGATTTTTTTTTTCCAGGGCTGTAGGCTGTAATACATTTTTTTTTATTCCAACAGTTACACTTTTTTAATGGTCTTTATTCATATGAATTTAAGTGATTTTTTTTACTTACAGAAAAGTTGATCCGATAACTGGTCCTATTTGGTAAATTTTACCAAGTTTTAGTGTCTTTATCTGTTTACCCATCCATATCCTGATTTGATTTATGTGATTTATAATTGTGTGAAGTTATTGTATCTATGTGAAAAAGGGGTATAGCAATACTGATTTGGGTAAAAAAAAAAACTTGACTCCTAGTAACGTTATAGCTTGATCGGATAAGTGGACCATTTTAAGAATTCATCGCCAAGGTCCATCCTAAAGGATTTCGTTTTCATTATTTGCGTCTTTTGCAGTTACCTCATGGCTAATACGCAGGATTCTGCTGTGTTACGGCGCCATCTTCAGGAGTTAGAGCAAACCGTTTTAGCGGAAGGACGGCTGTATAATGACCTGATTGTTCAACTACACCAACTAGATGCAGATATTAAAACCAGTCAAGATCAGTTGGGTACCTTAAATAATGATATTTTGAATATGACGCTTAAGAAAGCTGCTTTAAGTACCCAACTAGAAGCGGAGACTATTGAGGTTCAGAGGACAGCTTCGATGAAACAAGCTTTGAAGGACAAAATGGGGGAGGTTGCAAGCTTCATTCAAACTGCCTTTGAGTAGCCTATTCTGATGTTAAATACATATATGATGGCCTTAACTTTTTTGAGATGAAAGCATTAACTAGTTCTTATGTTTTTCTGATATAAGAATTTGCACTGTTCTCAGCTTCTGTAGAGGTTACTTACATTCATTTTGGTGTGACAAAGTTTAGATGCCCTAGACAAAGTGATCAGTATTTGTTCTTACTTTTTGTTGAACAGCTATAACAAAGAATCTGAACATTCTCTTATGATTTGCTTTTGCAACTTAGTTCTTTAGGACTACAACTGAAATTTTTATGCATGTGAACAACAAACAGCACCTGTAACTCTTCTGAGTAAAATTCGTATGGATGTGAACAACAAGAAACACCGACAAAACTCTCACGCATGCAAAAACAAGAAGCTAAATTCGACAAATTTTACCAAATATACCAACAAATGCACAAGTATACCGACAAATGCGACATTTCACTCTTTAATCCTTGACTACTATTAATTTTACCAAATTTATTATTTTTTGACTTGCTAAAAATCAACCATATCAGGTCCACACTTTGGACTAGACTTGGTCAATTCAAAAATTTGAAGGACTAAATTCAAAAAGATTGATTAATTGATGACTAAAAGTGGAAATGTCTCTATAATTGAGTGAGCAAAACTGGAATTATTTCATATGGAGTTACTTGATTGAGAATGGTTCCTTGATCCATCATCTCAAGGGAACTCGCTCTCTCTGACACTCTTTTTCTGCTCTTGCTTCAACCCAATCTCGTTTCTGATGAAGTGATTATATTGTTACCAGGCTCAACAAGTTTGCATCAACTGTGGTGTTTGCATGGGGAGATATTTTTGTGAAACATGCAAGCTATTTGATGATGACGTAAGTCAGGATCTTAATAGTAAACCTAATCAATGTTCTGTATATTTTATTACCTTACGAAAAGATGCCAACTGATTGCTATTCTTTTTTCAAAATGCAGACATCTAAAAGACAGTATCATTGTGGTGGATGTGGCATTTGTCGGTATACTTGTGCTTTTTAAGCATTAATCTCCATTTTCAAATTAATATAATAAATAAAAGATTCTCTTTCATCTCTTCTCCATTTAATTAGTATTTGACTACTTCATAAAATTCATTTTTCATATGCAGCATCATGTTCGTTGAGAAACTTATGCTCATACTTGTTCTTGTCTACAGAATTGGCGGAGAGGAAAATTTCTTCCACTGCTCTAAATGTGGTGAGTATTAGTTTCTTCCCAACTTTCAATCACCTTTGGCAGTGATATGATAGAATAAAACATAACATGATGTTATCTTACACTGAAATGCATGTATGATCCAGGATGTTGCTATTCAATCATTTTGAAGAATAGCCATCCTTGTATTGAAGGAGCAATGCACCATGACTGCCCTATTTGTTTTGAGGTATGAAAAGTAGCGAATTATCTCTCCCCCTAGGTGATTTGTGATTTGATATATTAAATCAGATCAGTTTCTTCCTTTCTTCTTCAAACCTGAATTAAAATATTAATTGACAGTATCTGTTCGAGTCAAGAAATGATGTTACGGTCTTGCGTTGTGGCCACACTCTTCACAGGAACTGCTTAAAGGAGATGCAGGAGCACTACCAGTAAGTTATGGTCTATCTATAATGTATTGCATTTTCATTGGTAGCATATAGTTTAACTTATCCCATCATTGTGCAACAGATACACTTGCCCCATTTGTTCAAAATCAGTATGCGATATGTCAAAAGTGTGGGAGAAATTTGACGCCGAGATTGCTGCAGCACCTATGCCAGAATCTTACCGGAACGAGAAGGTGATTACTATTTTCTTGTCTTAACCCGTCTCCATATCATTACTGTTCTGTTTTTCTATATTGTAAGTTAGTTAATTTTGTAACGAATGCTAACTAACACCAGTATCATCTTTAAGGTTTGGATTCTTTGCAATGACTGTGGAACCAGCTCAGAAGTTCAATTTCATATCTTTGCTCAGAAGTGTCCTAGTTGCAAGTCTTACAACACACGCCAAACAAGAGGGAGATAGATAAATAATGTATTAGATGGGACTAAAAATGGGATTGCACCAATCGCAAGATCTTTGCCAATTCTCATTCACTCGTAAAATTGATGGGAAGCACTGCAGTACGTAGCAAGGACTTGTCAACTGCCTCCTTCAAATGGCGCTGCAAAAGATAAGAATTTCTTTTGAATTGGCAGTTTGTACTTGATATTTCCCACGATAGTAGAAAACCTTAAGTTTGAGACTATTTCTTATAAAAACTCTATGATGCAATTTCTCTTTTCCCCTAAACTTGTTCACTCTGAGTACGTATTGGTGATTCAAGCTATGATATAAACCCCCTATCCTGCAGTATTAGTTTGAGCCAATCAATAATAGACAATTTAGACTGATAGCTATGATATAAATCCCTTATTCTAACCGTATTAGTTTGAGCTGATTAGTAATAGACAATTTAAACTAATTTTTAGTCTAAAAAATTAATATTCTCATTATTAAAATTTAATTATATGACCACCTATTTAGAATAGTAACTGATGTGTCATAGTTTTTCTAATTGTCATGATTACATGTTATTTAGACCGTCTATTTCGACTCCAAAATAAAGAATAAAGACTAATCCCTAACTTTGTTGATTGTGGCACTGTTCTCTTTCACTTTTTTTTTTTTTTTTTTTAAAAAAAAAAAAAAAATTCAGACCACTGTGTTATAGGAGTATATGTTCATAATTGTAAGTTCATAATGTCAGAGCTCTGTGTTCATAACTTCATAACTGTACATTCATAATTGCATAATTGTACATTCATAATTCTGTAACTGTACATTCATAATCCAATAACTGTAAATTCATAATTTTCGAAACTCTATGTTCACAATTTTAAAGCTCTATGTTCATAATTTTATCACTATATGTTCATAATTGTAAGTTCATAATGTCAGAGCTCTGTATTCATAATTTCATAACTTACATTCATAATTGCATAACTGTACATTTATAATTCCATAATTGTATATTCATAATGCCACAAACGAATAACGCCGTTAACGGCGAGACAAAATCAATTTTTTCTTTTTAACTGGAAGGTCGCATTTTCCCTTAAAACGACGTCGTTTTGGACTTATTGTGGACACGAGTCCACAGCATAATTTGCCGCAAATTATGCTGTGCAACCGAATGCACCATGCGCATGGTGTATTCGATGCAAAATGACGTCGTTTTGGTTTAAAAATGCGCGTCTCACTTAAAGAAGAAATCAAGTTCGATTCCCGGCAATAACATTTTTATATATCCACAAATTCATAACTATATATCCACAGTGAATGAATGAACTAAATATCCAGAAATTCATAACTATATATATCCATAAATTTATAACTATATATCCACAGTGAATGAATGAAGTAAGTATCTACAATGAATGAACTAAATATACACAATGAATGAACTAAATATCTATAAATTCATAACTATATATCCAGAAATTCATAACTATATATCTAAAATAATGTTATTGTCGAGAATCGAACCTGATTTTTTTTTTTTTTTTTTTAAGTGGGACGCGCGTTTTTAGTCAAAACGACGTCATTTTGCATCGTATGCACCATGCGCATGGTGCATTCGGTTGCACAGCATAACTATTGATAATTTGCGGATATAAGCTGGCTGCTCGCCAAAACCACGACAAATCGTCTTAAGTTTGATTGGGCCCTATTAATACAGCTTCATCCCGGGGTGTCAAACATATATATCTGATAATATCATCGCTTACCAAGAGGCGATGAGAACAAAGAAATTAAAGGCCGGAAGGGGTATGTATATGGCGATGAAAATAGATTTAGAGAAAGCATATGACAGGTTATCATGGAGTTTCATACGGGAAACTTTAAAATTAGCTGGGTTGGTGCCGGAATATAATGAACTGCATTGAGGCCAGGATCCAAACTCAGGATTCTTTGGAATGGAGAGCGAACAGAATGGTTCAGTCCTAGCAGGGGGTTTAGGATTTAGGCTCGGCCACCTCATCGTTAAACAAGTCTCGGAAGGCAAATGGAAGGGGATACGCATGGGCAGAGGGCCAGTGTTATCGCAGCATCTATTATTCTTCGCCTAGGAGTCTTTTGCGAGAGTTGAGGTCAGAAAGTGAATTTGCAGAAATCTTGTATTTTCTTCTCCCAGCCCCAGGGAGTAGACTATGACAGCATGGAGGCAATAACAAATCTGACCTCGTCTTGAAGGCATTCCCTCAATCCATGGTAACCAATCCTGGAGCGCATCAAATCTCGTCTTGAAGGCTTTAAAGCAAAATGCATTTTTTTGCCAAAGCAACACTAAGTGCTATTCCTTGCTACACTATGCAAACGAATTGAAATTGGCTACCTACAGGCTACAGGGAGGGCTCTGTAATAAAATTGATAAAATCATAACAAGGTGGTTTATATGGGGCATGGTGCTGAGATGGAAGAAACCTCCACATGGTTTTGTTAAACTTAATACAGACGGGTGGGTGGGTGGGTGTGTTGCCATAAATAAGAAGACGTGCATGGCAATTGGATCTCTGGGAGAATGCAATATTATATTATTGAAGCAGAAGCATGCAATGGGGAGTCAGTCTTAGATGGTTTAAAGCTTGCTGGCTGCTCAACAAAAATCTTAACTATAACAATACACTCAACACTCAAAAAAATTAGTGGGAGCCCTTCAAGAAAATAAAATAATGCCGCGGATGCACTAGCCAAGATGTGTTTGAAAGCCCTCCAGAGTGTGTGGAATCAATGATCAGCAAGGTTTTCCCAGTTTTACGAGGGGCTTAGTTTTCCCGGTGTAATATTGGGGTAAACCCCTCCACAAAGATGTAAAAAAAAAAAAAAAAAAAAAAAAAAAAACGCCAATCAAAAAATACTCTCCCTTCACTCCATTAGCATTAGAACAAGCACAGGAAGCTGTTTCTATGACTCATTAGGTTGAGTGGTTTTCCACTCCCCTTTCTCCCTTCTATAATCATTGATTTGCTGAGGCTTAATATACCTGTTTAATTAGTTTCCTTACCCTTACCCCAAAAGAAAAAACACTATTACATGTACTCAATATCTTCTTCTCTTTGTTCCAAGATTATATTAGCCATGGCAAGTCTATAAGCACTGGACCTCAAATTCCTAACAAGCACATAGATTTCCTTACTCCGCTTAATGGATGGAGCCCTCCATTGATCCTCTCTTAGACAAGCGAGATTGATTGCCTCACAAAGCGCCACTGCAACACCTTTTTTGCTGCACGAACATCATATCCAAATCAATACAACATACATAAATGCTTGGCAAGTTGCGACAGAAAAATTCCTTTATGAAAAATACATTTATTACTGACCTTCCTTGTACAAATCCTGTTGTAACAAAACCAATTGGCAGCCTATAAGAGTCTCTGGATGAAGGGTCAATAGGGAGTTGACATTCCCATTTTCCATCTTGCTGCACAAAGTATGATCTCACCAAAGATTCAGTTATTTGAAGTTCTCTGTCAGGATTTTCGAATCTGCATTCCACAAAAGGTCCACTAAGCTTTAAAATATTCAAATATGCATACAATCATGTATAAATCCATGAAATAAATTAGGCACATGGCACATTCTTATAAACAGAGCAAAGATATTTCAAATGTAATTTAAGATCATATATCACACCCATATTAATGGAGTATACTGTTATGCATCAACATATTTCTAGGATCACTTTCAATGTCAATTATCTCACTTAATAGGTGATTTCCATTCCCTGTCGTAAAGGAACATATCCATCTACTGGCATTGAATTTCATTTTATGTGCCCCTCCAGTTAGTTGAAAATATTTTTATTGGTTAAAGCAAATAACAATGCAAAATTTAAAATGATTAAAAATGAGAGCCATCTAAAAATCTTTAAAAAGCCAAAATGTATTTACCTCTGTGTCCACAACAATATATCATCAACATGAGGTGCACAAACCACTGCTCCTCCTTCAAAAAGGCCTTTGCTGTAGGCATGCAGCAATACTCTTACGAAACACAAATTTGGTCCATAATATACACGATAGATGACCTTATCTGAGTGCTCATTCACCATTTTTTCGTCTTTAATGAAGTTAGAAATACACTCCTTCCTATTTGGAAATTTGGGAAACAAAAGCAAATGACTTCCATTGATTTTATCCAAAAACTGACTCAAAATGTAGGATGTCCTTGCTATAAACCCCACAAAGGGAATATGACAATGATCATCTGCATCTGGACTGCATGTTCTACAATCACTGTAATCCACTAAGCTATTTTTTGTCCTTTCTTTTGCACTGAAGTCTTTATATTGCGCTTGATAATTTCTTTCCACAAATGATTTTTTGTCAAGAGCAAGGTGAACACTGTTCCATGGAGGTAGAATTGGAACTCCAAAGGGTCTCATGGAAGGAGGATTTCTCTCCACCTTTTCATCAGCAGCAGCTGCTTCCATTTTCATAAAACATGAATATGAATTGCAGTCAGGAAAGTCAGAAGGAAAGTATGGCAACTCAGCCTGCAAAGGGAAAGAGGAATTAAAAGGAATATCAGAAGACCTTGTAAAATCACTGGCAAAGGAAATTGTGCACTTACTTCACATGCAATCCATTGCTTCTCTCTAAGACCAATTGCATGAGCACCATTGGTGATGAGACTAATCCAAAAGACCTTGACCCAACTTAGCGGGAGAAGGATAGACCACCTACAAGAATTTTTAAAGACTATTAGGTATTTGAACAGTTCAAACTTTTAAAGAAAAATGATTGACCATCATTTCAAGTTCTTTGGTAAATTATGATTTAAATCACAATGAAAATCAATCAGCTAAGAACCCAGAAATGGTTAACAAACACCATTTGCAATTTGTTGAGGATTAAATTCAAAAAAAAAAAACCACAAGAACTAAGAAATTAGTTGAACAGAAACTTGAGGACAAATATTAAGAGTAACAGAATCTAACATCATAAGAGAAGAATTAAAAGTGTGCAAACATGAATGCAAACCCTTGCATCAAACTAAAAGATATGTGTTCTGCATAATTGCATATTGCACACTACCTATCATAGTATTTGTTGAATAATAGGAAAGTTGTCTTAGTTTCCTTTTCTTATTAGTAGTTTCCTATTCATATTAGGACTAATTTAGTATCTAGTTTAGTATATATAGAGGTCCATAGAAGTATAGAATGGACATTAAGAGAGACAATCTATTGTACTCTTTCATTATAATATATTCTCTATATTCTCTTGTTCTTTGGTTATCACATATTTTGCTTCCGCCTAATTGGCGGGTGGTGGTTATTCTCCACCCGCCAGACCTATCAATCCCTCAATTTCAACATGGTATCAGAGCCTACTTTCCTAGGCTGTTTTTCTTCAAATATTAAAACCCTAATATAAACCCTAGCTTTCTGCCGCCGTTGCCGCCACCGGAGGGTAACCACTGCCGCCACTGTTTTCTCTCGTTCCGACGCACTTCTAGTTGTTGTTCAAAGCAACTAACACCACAGGCTTACTCGGAACCTTGTCGCGAGCCGTCGCTTGAAATCCGGTCGCCATTCACCGTCGCACGCGCCCACACGCACCACCACCGTCGTCGGGAGTGCTTTCGCTTTTCCGGCCAGATCTCCTCTTCTCCAGTGATTTTGTGATCTCACCTCCTACACCAATGGATTCCTCTCCCTCTTGCGACCTTATCTGGAAAATTTCATCGCTTTCCTCCACCGCCGTCGTCCTCACGCGCCGCCGCCGCCGTCACGCGCCGGCGACCTTCCTCACGCGCCGGCGCGTGAGTCTGCCTCCGGCGAGATTTTTTCAGATAGTTGTTTTGCCCTTCTTTCAACTTTTTGGTGAAATTTGAAGGCTTCTTTGGGTTTGTTGCCGAACATTTCCCCATGGTGTTTGTGTTTTCGTATAACCGTGTTTGTTTCTTTATCTCCGGTATGCCTTATCTCATGGATGGTCAGTTTTAGCACTACTATAAAGGCCTTTGATTATTTCCCATGTTTCAAGTAAGGGGGAGTGTGACTATCTACAATTGGTGTGCTATCATTTACTATTATTTGCTATTTTATCTACAATGGGCTCCCTTTGCTATTCTTTGCTCCCTTTCTGCCTCTACCGCTCTCTTGTGTTATCGGGAGGTTGTTCATGTTTAACTCTATCCTTGGTGTGTTCATCTTCATTCTCGAGGTTCATGTTCAATTCTGTCCTCGGTGTGTTCATTCCCAAGATCGTGTTTAGCTTCGTCCTTGGTGTCTTCGTCTTTATTCCCAAGGGTCCTTGGTGTCTTCGTCTTTATTCCCAAGGATTGTGTTCAGCTCCGTTCTTGGTGCCTTCGTCTTCATTCCCAAGGAAGGGTCAGACATAGCGCAATCTCTTTTGAAGTCATCAATCCTCGAGTGCTTATATTGTTGTGATGGTGTTCGTGTTTTCCCTTGGTGCCTCCATTCCCAAGGATGTTCGTGACAAGCTTTGCCCCTGGTGTGTTCATTCCCAAGGGTTGCATTATCCCTCCGAAGCCATCTCGCATTGTTATCCTCTAGTTGCATTTAATTTTCACTTGTAATTTTGAGTGAGGTAGAGTGCTTGTTTTAATCCAAGCTTGGAACTTCAGATGTTCCAGCTTGAGGGGGAGTGTTAAATAATAGGAAAGTTGTCTTAGTTTCCTATTCTTATTAGTAGTTTCCTATTCCTATTAGGACTAATTTAGTATCTAGTTTAGTATATATAGAGGTCCATAGAAGTATAGAATGGACATTAAGAGAGACAATCTATTGTACTCTTTCATTATAATATATTCTCTATATTCTTTTGTTCTTTGGTTATCACATATTTTGCTTCCGCCTAGCTGACGGGTGGTGGTTATTCTCCACCCGCCAGACCTATCAATCCCTCAATTTCAACAGTATTAATGTATTATACTCGATAAACAAGTAAAGGAAATTCACCTTCTGATAGAAGATTTATGTCCGTAATTTTTTATGAGCAGAAGTGGACATGATCTTGGACGCTGCATATTATTTGGAGTATTTGATGCCCCAGAAATTCTATCACCAATCCGGAACAACTCCATTCGCTGATTGTGTCTCTCCATGCAAAGAACACTTTCCTATACAGGAGGACTTAATTCTTTGTCAACATGCCACAAATCCATGCACTCAGATGATTCACAACTTTCTTCAAATTCTAAGCATTGACGTGAAAGTAAATTGCATTCCTCTTTAGGATTTTCTACCAAACCACCATGTCCTTTTATTTCATGTTCTTTATAAGGTTGCATTCCTAGAGCATTTATATCTGGAGCATTAGCAATACCTTCCTTGGTAAAAGTACGAGGATCAACAACGGTAAGGGAAACAACTCCAAAAGAAGGAATCTGATCTTCCTCAAATATTTTCACGAATTGACTTTCACTGTCACTGCCAGTGACAGAACACTTCTTGAGCAGGGATGATTTTTCTGCACTGCTACATAGGCAAGGATACCACTCAGCATTTTGATCTAGACATTTAGCTCAAGTAGAAGTTCAAAGTCAATAATTATCTCACCAGGTAGCAGGATGTAATGCCTTTTTAAGGACCTGAAGTGTCCTAGATCCTATCACTTCTAATTTTGCAAGCCGATCATCAAGGGAGATGCAACTAACTGTGCAGGTGCTGGCATTCATCTGATGGTTAAGAACAACAGAACTAGTGATCTATACTGCAGAAACAAAGCTACCATAAAATATAAATTAACTCAAATATAAGAACAGAAAAAAATTACTGGTATACCGATCCAAACATTTTTTAAAGGAACATAGGAATGGAGAATATCAGTTATAACCATTTAAGTAATTACAATATCTAACGAAGCAATTATTACACTGTTGACTCAAAGTATTTTGTCAAAGTTATGTGCAAAAAGAATTCCAGTTCTATAAAGGAATATCAGTACTAAGAGGAATAGTTATTGAAGAATACTAGTTCTAAGGGGATTTGTTGTTGAAGATTTTCTAGTTCTATTTTGATTAGGAATAGTTTGTTATTCACGAATCTGTTAGGAATAACTACTATAAATAGGGGATGTCCTTTATTGTAGACCTTAAGCATTCAACATCTAATTGTGAGGTACGAGAGTCTTTGAGAATAGGATACTAAATTCCCCTAGAAAGTAGTACATGTGTTTAGGTTTCAATAGTTTGGTAGGAAAGATCATTCTATTGTGTAATCTCAGGTTCCAAACAGTGTACTTTAAATATTGAGCTTTTAGTGGATTTAGGCAAGTTCTCAAATTGAGAAGTGCCTCGCAGATTAGGGTTGTTTGCCCGAACTGCGTTACAGATCGTTTGTGTTACAACGTCAGTTTCAACATCACTATGTGCTGCGCTTTACAAATTTTCAATTGGTATCAGAGCCAAACTGCTTAAATTATTAGCAGGATCCTAATGGAGTTTCCCAGAGAAGGACTGTCAAGCACCAGCCCCCCTGCTCTCTTTGGTACAAATTTCTCCTACTGGAAAGCTAGAATGAAAATCTATATTTTGGCACAAGGAGAAGGAGTTTGGGAAGCCGTTGAGAAAGAATGGAAGAATCCAGTTGATGATAAAGGTAATCAAAAACCTAAAGCAGAATGGAATGAAGAAGAGCGAAGAGAATATAATTACAATTCAAAAGCAATGAATGCCATATATGGAGCGGTAAGTGAAGATACTTTCAAACTAATCGCTACCACTGGCATAGCTAAAATTGCATGGGATATACTATGTGATCATCACGAAGGAAATACTTCTGTTAAGCAATCCAAGCTGCAAATGATACAAACACAGTTTGAGAATTTAAAAATGGAAGAAGATGAGGATATCTCACAGTTTAGTGCAAGAGTTTTAGGGATTGCTGGAGATGCGTTTAACCTAGGCGAACCTATTCCTGAACCTAGGCTCGTCAAAAAGGTCCTACGTTCCTTACCTGAGAGATTTATGATAAAGGTTACAGCCATCCAAGAAAACAAAGATCTAAACACCTACAAACTCAGTGATCTAATGGGAAATCTTCAAACATATGAGCTTGAGATATTGCAAAAAGGGAAAAATAATGACAAAGGAATTGCGCTCCAATCAAAGCAGAAAGAGAGTCCAGAAATTGATACTGAAACCATGGAACAATCAATTGCTCTCCTAACAAAGAATTTCAACAGAGTTCTCAAAAAATTCAACAAATTTAGAAGCAAAAGTGCTTCAATCAATCAAGGGAACTTCCCAACTGGACAAAATCAATATATTTCAAAAGGAAGGGAGAGTCTAAAACCTGAAGGAATTCAGTGCTACGAGTGCAAAGGGTTTGGGCACATCCAGTCAGAATGTCCAACATATTTTAAAAGAAAGAACAAAACATATGTGGCAACACTAAGCGATGACTCAGATAGTGAAGAAGACACCAACACTAATTTCGTAGCATTCACCGCAAATCATGAGAATGACAACGAAAACGAAAATGATATGCAAGAACTGCTAGAGTCATATACCCAATTGTATGCTAAATGGGAACAAATCATCAAAGTGAATCTAGAGCTCATGCAAGAAAATCAGTTTCTAAAAGGTGAAAAAGATAGAGAAGAAAAGCGCCTCAAAGAAACTCAAAATGAATTATTAGAATCTAAAAACAGAGAGGCCAAACTGTTACAAGAAATCAAGGCACTAGATGGAAGGCCTAGATCTCCAAATCCAGCGTCCAGTGAAAGCCACTCTTCTGAAAATCCTGAGGTGTCACAACATCACTTTCAACACCGAAGGAGAATTAGATGTTATTACTGCCACAAATTGGGACACATAAAGGCATACTACTTCAAAAGACAAAATGATCTCTATTACAGACAAAACAACAGAGATTGGACAGTACAAAGCAAAAATAACAGCAAGAAAGTATGGGTAAGAAAGGATCAAACACAAGCTGTTGCGTATACCTCAGAAACAAGCCAAGAACAAAGTGTTTGGTATTTTGACAGCGGATGTTCAAGACATATGACAGGAAATCCACATTATCTTGAGAATATCCAGTACAAAAATGAAGGGCATGTCACTTTTGGAGATGGAGGAAAAGGACAGATTATCGCAAGTGGTACCTTGAATGTCCATGGACTGCCCAGATTACCAAGAGTCTTTTTGGTACAAGGACTCAAAGCAAACCTTATCAGTATAAGTCAACTGTGTGATGATGAACTCAAAGTAGAATTTTCCAAAAAGAATTGTAAAGTCTACAACCAAAAACATGAATGTGTTATGATGGGGAAAAGATCATCTGATAAAAGCTACACATGGGATAGTGATCTAACCTGTCATTAATCTACCATCAATCAAACACCACTGTGGCATCAACTAAGGGGGAGAAAGACAGAGACCAAGGTGTTTGCCAAAAATTTGACAAAGGGGGAGAATGTTGACTCAAAGTATTTTGTCAAAGTTATGTGCAAAAAGAATTCCAATTCTATAAAGGAATATCAGTACTAAGAGGAATAGTTATTGAAGAATACTAGTTCTAAGGGGATTTGTTGTTGAAGATTTTCTAGTTCTATTTTGATTAGGAATAGTTTGTTATTCACGAATCTGTTAGAAATAACTACTATAAATAGGGGATGTCCTTTATTGTAGACCTTAAGCATTCAACATCTAATTGTGAGGTACGAGAGTCTTTGAGAATAGGATACTAAATTCCCCTAGAAAGTAGTACATGTGTTTAGGTTTCAATAGTTTGGTAGGAAAGATCATTCTATTGTGTAATCTCAGGTTCCAAACAGTGTACTTTAAATATTGAGCTTTTAGTGGATTTAGGCAAGTTCTCAAATTGAGAAGTGCCTCGCAGATTAGGGTTGTTTGCCCGAACTGCGTTACAGATCGTTTGTGTTACAACGTCAGTTTCAACATCACTGTGTGCTGCGCTTTACAAATTTTCATACACATACGAAAACCTAGAGTAATAGTTTAGAAGATAGAGTTCAGTAGCTTACCTGTTGTATACAGGCAGACTGTAAAGCCTCAAACCCTTCTTTATGAGCTGAAGCATGTATGAAAATCCATAGCCGCCTAGAGGAAGCAAAGTCATCAACTCTGTTTTCCCTCTCACATTCATCTTCATTAGAGACCTTAACGTTGAGACCACAGAACTTCCGAGGTTGCCACATATAGGTAACGGGGGCGATGGAAGAAGAGAAGGGTACACCATAATGATGAAGCTGCAAAAGTACACACAATTATCGATTATCATAAAAAATAATTTCCTGGGGGAAAATCATGAACATAGGCAACCTACCATAGCATTACCACAGATAGCACCTGAGAGTATGTCCAATTTTGGGGAAAGTATATTGAACCTGGTCACTCTTTTATAATCATTATGATCAATAGGTATGTTTGGCAGATTATTTGCTAAAATCGTAAATAGATTATCTTTTGAACTTCTAGTTCAGTTTAACTAGTACATGAATTTAAATAATGAAGATATTTTCATTTTATGAAATTTCTTAACATTCTATTAAATTTGAACTCGTATCTCCCCCTGATGTCGAGAAACGATCTTCATTAATTAAGTATGCAGTCAGCGTATCGAAGGATATGTATTGGTCTCCTATCATGTGCTCTTGGTATTAATTAATCAAGAGACAGAGACTTCTTTGTAGCCTTTTTAGAGGTACGTTGTGGTGGTGATATATTGAAATAGACTGCGCACTATAAATAATAACGCATATAGGGAAATGTTTATTTTGAAATCATGTACTATGTGAAAAAGGGGGTATAGCAATCCTTGAGTGATTGATTTGTGATTTGCATTGAGTTAGATTTGGGTAAAAAAAAAAAAAAAACTTGACTCCTAGTAACGTTATAGCAATCATTCGGGGATTGATCGGATAAGTGGAGCATTTTTTGTCAAGAATTCATCGCCAAGATCCATCCTAAAGGATGACTTAGAGATTTAAAGTCTGTAATCTACCTTCTGAGCAAATAAATATACAAAAAAAAAATGAGGACTCTAAATTTAAATATCGTATACCCAAATCTCATGTCAAAGAGTTTCTATAGCAGAAACAAGCACTATAAACAAGTCATAGAACTTTAAATAAGTCGATTATGGCCGAAGCTCTATCGAGGTGGAACAGGGACATCTTCGGTAATGTCTTTCAAAGAAAGAAATGTTTATTAGCAAGGATTGGAGGGGTTCAACGCAGTTTAGCAAGACATGCACGTTCTGACTTAATAAGATTGGACAGGAAGCTTCGACAAGAACTGGATGAAACCTTGTACCATGAAGAACTAATTTGGTTTTAGAGATCGAGGGAGGATTGGATCACGTCCGGAGATCGCAATACACGGTTCTATCATGCTGCGACTTCAGTAAAAGGTAGTAAAATCAGAATTAAGGCTCTGAAAAACAAGGATGGATGCTTGATTACGGATGAACTCATGCTGAATGATCATGTCCGTGATTATTTTATGGATCTCTTTACAGCTGAAACTACACTGGGTTCTCAGCCCTCTATGCAAGGTCGTTTCCCTATGCTTTCTGAGTCGGAATGAAAAGAAATCAATGCCCCATTCCTTTTAGAAGAAGTTAAACAAGCCATCCTTGAGATGACGCTTTTCAAGGTACCAGGGCCTGATAGTTTCAATGTAAGCTTTTATCAGAAGTCTTGGAGTGTGGTCGGTGAGTGCCTCTTTAAGTATTTTCAGCACTTCTTTGAAACTGGAGAAATGCCCCTGGATGCAATGACACTCTTATCTCGCTTATCCCCAAAGTCCTAACCCCGGAGACAGTAAAATAGCTTCGTCCCATTGGGCTTTGCAATGTTACATATAAATTGTTAACTAAAACGATGGCTGCAAGGAGCGTTATGCCATGGAACCGTGTTCACCATGAATGGTGAACACGGTTCCAACGGTGTTAGTACACCGTTATCTTTTTTTTTCTTAATTAATTGCGTGACTTTTCTTCTTCATTTTCACATTTTGCGGTTTCACTTTAATTTGAGGTGAACAATGATTTTGGACATTCATAAATTATGAATTCATGCCTGCACATTCACTTTGGAACCATGCCTACACATTCCCGTCCAAAATCACGGACATTCATAAATTATGAATTCATGCCTGCACATTCACTTTGGAACCATGCCTACACATTCACTTTGGAACCATGGGATTATGAATTTTCTGTTATAAGATTATGAATTTTCAGTTATGAGATTATGAATTTTCTGTTATGAGATTATGAATTTTCTGTTATGCGATTATGAATTTTTTGCGGTTTCACTTTAATTTGAGGTGAACAATGATTTTGGACATTCATAAATTATGAATTCATGCCTGCACATTCACTTTGGAACCATGCCTACACATTCCCGTCCGAAATCACGGACATTCATAAATTATGAAAATCCATGACTGCACATTCACTTTGTAACCATGCCTACACATTCACTTTGGAACCATGAGATTATGAATTTTCTGTTATAAGATTATGAATTTTCAGTTATGAGATTATGAATTTTCTGTTATGCGATTATGAATTTTCTGTTATGCGATTATGAATTTTCTGTTATGAGATTATGAATTTTATGAAAATTCATAATCTCATAAAAGAAAATTCATAATTTGATCAACGCGCGCCGTTAACTCCACATCCGCGATTTTTTTTTTTTTTTGCCTAAAAATGACGTCGTTTGGCCTTATGTTCACCATTCTCGGTGAACACGTTTCCAGGGCATAATTTGCCTGGCTGCAAGGTTAAGGCCTTTTTTGCCTAAATTAGTTGGACAGCATCAATGGCTTCATTGCTTGCGTTCCTTGCCATGCACCTTCCTAGCTTTCTCGTGCACATGTGTGATTGTGTTTGATAATACAACATTCAATTCCAAGTGTCCATCCTCGTGACATCGACACTCGGGGATTCCATCCTCGTTTACACCTTTTCATCATCCACCTCACCAAAAAACTACACTTTCAGATGTCTTGGCATGCTCCTAAGGAATATAGATCACTCAGTTTGTGTGATGGCACCAGATTACTCGTCCATCGATTAGCATATCATATTTTGGAACCAAAGATTATGAGTGACAATCATGCAGGAAGGTTGGTTTTGATTCCGCGGATGTCGTTGACACAATCGAATACTAAACTACAGTTTAAGTTCTAAATGAGACAATTTCTCTTATTAATGATTTCGTATGCTATGACTATCAATAAAACTCAAGGTCGACTTTAAAGCTTGTTGGTATGTTTTTGAAGAATTCAATTTTTAATCATGGACAACTTTATGTGGCTTTGTCTTGCGTCATTAGTCCTAAATGACTTAAAATTTTTCTTTGCAGTGATTAAAAAGGTTGATTTTGATTCCCCGGATGTCGTTGACACAATCGAATACTACCATTTAAGTTCATAATGAGACCATTTCCCATATTAATGATTTCATGTGCTATGACTATCAATAAAACTCGAGGTCAAACTTTAAAGCTTGTTGGTATATTTTTGAAGAATCCAATTTTTAATCATGAACAACTTTACGTGGCTTTGTCATGTGTTAGTAATCCTAAAGGACTAAAAAAAAAGAATTAATTACCAAAATGGTCATAATAATAATTAATAAGCATAATAACTTTAATAATTTTTCATTGGGAAAATGGCACTTTTTCCCCCTGTGTTATATACCTATAGCATTTTCCCCCCCTAAATTATTGAAGTGGCTGTTTTTCCCCCTGAAATGTTAAATGGACATATTTACCCTTAAACTAAATATTTAATTTATTTTTTTCTCCAACAAATTATGACCATAATTTGGTTAAAACCAAACAAACACTATAGCAACCAAACCGAAATATTCCAATTACAATTTAGAATCGAAATTCGATATTTAGAGTTTATTAAAATCGTGAACCGAAACGGACGGTTCATGTTCCGAACTGAAAAAATAAAATACATTTATTATTGAATTTAGACTATTTTAAAATAAAAAATAAGATTTTAAAATAAAGACGGTTCAAAATCGCGAATCGAATCCGGAACCGCCGGTTCACGGTTCAAGATTCAATTTTTTTGATACATAATTTTAAAAAATTGACATTTAAATATTGGGTTCTAGATTTGAATTATAACCGAAAACTATTAATTCGATTGCTAGTATCCGGTTCAATTCAAACCGATCCGTGGTCATCCCTACGTATACGCAATAATTTGTTGGAGTAGTAAAATAAATAAAATGTTTACTTTAAGGGTATAAATGTCAATTTAATATATCATGGGGAAAAAGCACCACTTTTAGAATAATTGAGGGGGCTAATGTGCTTACCTAAATAATTGAGGGGGAAAAAGTGCTATAAGTATATAACTTAGGGGCAAAAAGTGCCATTTTCCCTTTTTCATTTTTAAGTACATATTAACTTTAATTTGTGATAAAAATTCATTAGATATTAGTTAACTTTCATAAAAATTTTGTTACCAATTAAACTTTATTAATTTTTTTACCAATTAATTAATATTCATATTAATTTGGGTATGAATGTTGTAAAGGAGGATTTTAATTTTATTAAAGTTATTTCACTAAGGAAATTAAAACTAATTAAAGTAAATCTAATCATGCTATATTTATTTGTAACTGTATATTAATTTGATTTTGAAAGCATTGGTTCACATATTTGAATTATTTATTTTTTCTTTAATTATTCTCATTGTAAACATAAATGATATTGCAGTAATTAATTTATGATATTTATCAAATTGTATTTTTTTAAAATATAAAATTTTTTCAGGGATTAAAAAATATTTTAAAATTATTTTTTATTAGTAAGTCTTTTTATTTTTAAAATATTTTCCAGAAACCCAAACACTCCCTTAGTTTCTAATAAAAACTGAAAAATAAAAGTCATTTCATTAAGAAAATTAAAACTAATTAAAGTAAATCTAATCATGCTATATTTATTTGTAATTGTATATTAATTTCATTTTGAAATCATTGGTTCATATCTTTGAATTATTTATTTTTTTCTTTAACTATTATAAACAGAAATTATGATATTTATGAAATTGTATTTTTTTAAAAAAAAATATAACA